ATGTTTTTACTCGMATCCGGTACAATAGAAATGGAAGACACCAAGGATGAATATCTCAAGAAGAAACTGCATATCAAAGACCGGTTTATTAGGGTATGGTGCATGTACAATTAGTTTATTACGCTTTTTTTCAGATGTATTTATAGCTTATCCATGACTTTATTAGTAAAATACTGATGTTTCATTCATCATTGTGCCATCAAGCATCTAGGCAACACCGACCRTTTTCTCATGTTTTCCTTTACATTCTTCATCAGCGCCTGGAGACAGAGAAACGTCAACTTGAAATCGATAACAATTCACTTCAACTTCGACTTAAAAATGTTGAATACCAGCTTAGTAATCTAATGAGAGCACAAAGAAAAGGAGCGGACCTGCAGTCAACAAAACAAGATAATATAAGACTTGATGTGAGTAACGTACGAAACGATTCTGCACGTAGGAATAATAGATATTTTATAGCGAAATAGGGTGGTACGTGTGATCTAGAGTTAAGCTGCTGGCCTCTCATCGCTGTGGTCCGGGTTCGATTCCCTGGCACGGACCACATGCATGTGAGTTTGAGTTTGTTTGATGTGTTGTTCTCTCCCTTGCCACGAGGGTTTTTCTCCGGGTCCTCCAGTTTTCCTCCCTCAGTAAAAATCAACATGTGAGGAGTGTTGAGAGTGAGAGTATACAGGGTCCGCAGTAATTGGCTCAAGCTGTTGCGGTGTCCCTGCCCAAACTATCTTATTATTATTATTAAATTAAAAAAAATTAAAAACATTAAATGGTTGACTGTCAATCTTGTTTGATTAGGGCACCATTCCTCAATCTCTGGCAACAAATATTCTTGCTCCAAGACTAATTCCATTCCCAAGCTTCAAAACATCACATTTTGAGGTAAGATCTCTTTATTGCAGTTTTATTTCACTAACATATAAATATCGTGATCAAATCACACCAAATAATTGCATTAACAATGAAGCCTGCTTTTTTGTCTTGAAGGAAATGAAACAAGACTTGAACCAAAATTCAGACATTAGTGAAAACGGACAGCTACTCAACGAAAACCTGGAATTTACTTTAGAGGTGCGCATGTTATAAGCTCATTTAAGRACCCCTTTTGCTATCACAAGAGGGTCTTTTGTACTCCTTGATAAGGACACGCCCTCACCATTGCTTCGGAAGAAAAACTGAGCATGTGTACAAATGTATGGTAAAAAATCATTATAACTGCCCCTTCCCCTTACTTTTAAGCCTCTTCTGTACTAGTGGTAACTGCTTTGACATGCTTTCTTTTCTAGATTTCATACCTTAAAGCAAGGCTCAAGAGRTCAGAAACAGCAAGAGCAGTTGCAGAAAGGTTAAAAATACGTATGTTATAAGTCTCACTTTTAATTTCCTTATACGCCYGTTCACTTTTTAATAACAGGAAAATCGACAATCTTGAAGAGAAGTTAAAGCAAGCTGAGAAATTACTGGTGCAACCTTTGGCAGCGCAAGATACGTTATCAGAACAAACGAATTCGAAGGTATCGCTTTTTGTGCTTCATTGTCAATCTTTAAGACAGCTGTGTATATGAGTTTGTCTCATGAATAGTCATGAATGTCATGATCATACGTTTTTCTATGTTTTGGAGTTATCACTAGTGCTTGCGTTTATTTTAAATCTCCCGCTCAAAAACGCAATTACGAGAGGCCACCCATACCAGAAGACACCCAAGGCCCCATAACAACCATAAGTACACGATCTCTCAAAAATCTGTTCCTTGCAGCTGTCGCGTGCAGCATGTCCTTCATATGTTGATTCTTCTGTCCAGCAAATATTTCCTGGTAAAGCTGAYCATAGTGACATGATGTCCTACAACGTTATGATGTGTCTAGACAGGATCTTAAAGGTAATTTCACACTTTGTATATTAACTTTATCAGAGGGGGGAGCTTGTGCATACAGTGCATTCAGGGGGRACACTACTTCAAAACGACTTATCATGAAGTTTTTCTTTTCAGGCTGTGCTATTGCTTGACGAGAAGATAACATGTTATCAGAAGTCTTGATTTAAAACGCTCAATGGCTGCATGTTCTTCCGTTCCTTCTATGGATGGGTCATGTAGACAATGATGTAGACATCCAAAATACTCATGATTCCGATGCGCACGCCCAATGTTTGATCACAGGATAGATATACGGATTCTAATTTGTAATTAAACGTATGAATTGAAATAAACTTATGAAGAGTGAGGAGTCTATATGCAAATGTTAAATCTCCTTGAAGGGCAAACCTGGCACGAAGAGATGACCCGATAAAGGCTAGGAGAGCTAATAAGGGGGGCATTAGTGGATCCTATTTTTTGGTCTTAATTTCATCTTTATTGATTTTTTATCAAATTTTATTATGTCTCCTTGGAAATCGTGTCAACAATCTCTYCACGAAACATCGTAAAARAACGAGTTTATAAATACGGAAGTGATTGAAGGCACAAACCTGATTCGTAAATCAGAGCTGAAAAAAACATTTCAAACATTTTTTTATACTTATTAAAAATCGTTATGTTCTTCGTGAGTTATTAGAAAAGACCACATGTTTGACTTGGCACACGTTTGAATTTCCAGAAAACCGTTACGATATGTCTRTCTGTTTGTTCGTTGGAGTGGAAATATCTGAATAAGAGGATTATAGAAAGCTCGTTGAACCATGTCACTTACTGTTTTATAGATCACTCATAAACAACCAGCATCATTCTCATATATCATAACGGTTTTCAGGCACGATTCAAATCGTCCGTCAAGACCGTCGAAGTAACATACAAGATGTCCTGGCTGGTGATATTAGCTTTAATCAACGCTGTCATAGCGACCAAAGGATTACTAAACGAACCAAGTGGTTAGTACGATGTTTATGTACAAGTTTTGATATCATGCATGATCTGTAGTCCTTATCGACTTTAATTTAAGGCCTTGCTAACCTTGACCAGGTTTGAAAAAAATGCCTGGAACAAAAACGGTTATCTATATTTGATCTAAATTTACCTGCTTTCCGTGCCCTTATCATCATTTTTCATATATAAAGTGACTCTGAAAAAACTGTTCTGAGAGTAATAACGGCACGATTAGTTAGATCTCTGCATGGTAATCAAACTAGTAAGCTAATARGCATAAAATGACGGTTACAAGGTCACATCTCAGTGACTTTAGTTTTGCTATTTTGATTTATACAAGGTAAACATGTCCATTTTTTTGTTCTAATAAGAACTTCTTATAAATGCAATAAACTTAGGCTGTGTTTACACGATTTTTCTTTCAAAAATGTCCCGATAGGGTCATCATTTTCGGGGCTGCATGCATGTTGGTAGAGTTATGAAAAATACTCTTGAAATTTTTTTATTTATGTTTTAATTGTGAGTCCAAAGAGTCCGGCTTGTGCCAAGTCTATTGATTCGTGTGTACGACAACCTTAATTTAAACATATAAATCAGTTAAGAAGCACTTTTATAAACTTTTGACGAAGTCTCTGCATATCAGTGTCCCGGGTTCAGTATCTGTGTGTCAGTGAAGTTCTCATCTCTAGGTTAAAAAAAATCCGTGAAAGACAGTTTTTAAACATTTATTTTTTAATTTTAATTTTTTTTAAAATAAGGTTGAACGATTGAGACGTTAATAAAGTTATTTCGGTAATATATCTTGTCTTTATTCCTAGAATATTCGTATCATAACGATGAGAAGTTAAAGAAAATAGTAGAAGACGTGTTATCAGGTTTGCTATCGACTGATAAGATGACAATGTTACTACGAAATATGAAAAAATGGAAAAATCTAATGAGAGTATGTGTTGTCCACTTTTTTCATTTTTAGAAATGGAAAACGACGACGTCCATTCTCGGATTTTTGCGGTCAACGAGGCTCACAGAAAGTATCGAGATCAGACTCAAGCAACCAGACCCCCGGCTGAAATCGATGTGGACGAGAATATCATCGAGACTAACTTAGGTGAACGTTACTACKGTTTCCATATCGTCTGTCCTCGTAAATGCAGATCCACTGACAAAAATCAATGTCTCTCATAGCTTTATAGTAGTGGACCTTAGGGGATTGGGGAAGGCTTTCTTCGCGGCCCTCTTCTTAGAGCCACCACTCAAGGCTATACCTCTCAATCTTTCATTTTCGTTTAATTTAATTTTAACAAACTGCGCACGGTTTTGAGGTGTATGTCATCCTTCTTGACACAGTCTTGACGCGTCATAACGTATACGAGCGCAGCGAAAGAGACGTACTAAACCCGGTTACCATTCTCATGACATCTTGACTGTCTTCAACTGTAAATTCGACTTATTACTTTCAGAGCAAGGTGTCAATCTATTTGAAGGAGATATTGATCTCACTCCTGAAGAAGCTGCAATGCTAAAGGAGAGTGGTACCCTACAGAAGCGAACCGCTGGCCAGCAAAGTCGCAGTAATTTTTGGCATGACCGTTTCGTTCCCTACATGATAGCTCCGTCACTGAGTAAGATGATCATGATAAACTGTGTTTTAATAAAGGCATGTCGCGAAGGTTGAAATGAAGGAATGTTATGTAGATTAGTAAAATTGATTGCTTGATTTATTAACATCATCTATATAATCATCATCATCACCATCATCATCATCACRATCAACATCACATTGTTGTTGCGATTGGCAGCCATTAGRTACTCTTTCCCCCTAATTTTTGGGGTACCTTTCTTAACATTGATTTCATAAATRACATGATAATGATGAATTCTCATCAGAAAGTAAACGTCACCTCATCCGAAAAGCAGTCCGCATTTTCCAACGTGATACGTGCTTGAAGTTCGCCGAAATAACGAGTTACAGATCGAATACCAATTACATCTACATCGACATGAGAGATGGGTAAGTCAGTGTTGCTATAGAAACGTTTCAGTGAGTATGAATGAATGCGCTCTGGTTGTACGAGTACCACGTGACTTTATACTCGCTGTCATTGTACACAGATGTCACTCCACGATTGGTAAAGTATCAAGAAAGACTCGACAAGTTTTATCGRTAGGACATGGTTGTCATGACATCGGAACCATCTTGCATGAGATGACGCATGCTATAGGTATGTAACTATGGTACTGCTATAGCAACCGAAGGTTACGTCTTTATGTGGTGTAAAAGAGAATTAATTGACGTATCTGCATGCTGTTCTTTTGTTTGAGTTAATGAATACATGAATGAATTGATGGCTGATTGGCATATGATTGATTGAATGATTGATTGAAGACGATACGTCATTCTAAAACCCTCTTCTCTGGTATCTAAGGATTCTGGCATGAGCAATCAAGGCCAGACAGAGACAAGTACGTAAGAGTGCGATGGGAAAACATTACACCAGGTAAATGTAAAGTATTAACACAATCAAAAGTATCCCTTCTGCATTTGAAAGTTGCAGCTCTSACGTAGGCTAAAGTGTAGTACGCAGTTTGTTGTGAAAATTGATCGTTTTCAACCATTCCCATGAAATTCAAAAGATAAAAGACCGGCGGCCATTTAGTGGAGGAATGAACAATAGATACTAATGAAAAATCCTTTGTTGAAGTTCCTCCAAGATGGCCGCTGTGACGTATRGTGAAAACGAAGAATAAGCACCTACAGAGGACACAGCTTTACTTAGATAACATATGAATTCACATGCTATTAAATTCATTCACAGGACAAGAACACAATTTCAAAAAACATGGAATCAGTTCTGTGGACTCGTTAAACCTTCCCTACGACTATGAAAGCATCATGCATTACGGCAAGAAAGGCTTTTCAATTAATGGRGGCAATACTCTAGAGAAGATTGATGACCCAAAAGCCAAGCTAGGAAGTGCTTCAAGAAAGGATACTGGGTTCAGCGCATACGACAAGATGGCGATAAATGCCCTGTACGAGTGCAGCAAGTTTCCAGGTATTACGCAATGCAGAGATTCTTTACAAAGGAGGTCTTGGCCAGCCATYACTTGGTCCTAGCCAGGCACAGCGTGTTTTTGACCAGGCACATCGTCTTGGTCTTCGCCAGGCATATAGCGTGCTTTGGCCAGACACACCGTAGTTTTGGCCAAACACGGCGAGGTTTTGGCCAGGTATAACGTGGTTTTGGCCAGGCACAACGTGCGTTGTTGGCCAAGCACAGCGAGGTTTTGGCCATGTWTAACGTGTTAKTAATCACCTTTCATTGTATGTGTAATAGGTAGCTATCGCGGGTTTTCAAGCTGGTCCAAGTGGATGCCCTGTAACTGGAATTGCAGGCGGTATCGTGAACGGTTCTGCATGAACGTAGCCAACGATTACTGGCGGGAGAAGCTGTGCCCAGGAGCAAATCGTAGAGGTGTTCACACAGAATACAAACAATGTTCAAAAAGTGAATGTGGTAAGAATAACATATAACATCATGGAAATAATAAGTTGGGCGTGTTGTTTGATTGATGGTTTTCAACCATTCCCATGAGAGTGAGCAAAACAAAAAGGTCCACCAGTCACGGTGGTGGTTTTCTTTTGTCAGGTCCACCAGCAATGGCGGACATCTTTTGGGTTTAACTTTCTCTCCTGGGAATGGTTGAAAACCATCAATTGATTGTTTAACTACAGGTCCAATCGACGGAGGTTGGTCGATGTGGGGAGCCTGGAGCTCATGTAATGCAAAGTGTGGATCAGGAACAAGGACTAGGAAGCGAACATGCGACAATCCGTTTCCAATGCGTGATGGGAAGTCGTGTCCTGGTAGTGACACTGGTACTGGAAAGTGCACTGTTGGAAAGTGCAGGCTGGGTAAATAATTAAGACTGATGTGTTTCTTTTCCATTCTTCCTAATCATGTTTGATGTCAATTATTTGACGCAGGTTATTATGAAACTCAGTTTGATAATTATAAAACTGGATCATGGAAAGTTGAAGGAAGTGGTTACAAAAAATGGAGAGTGGAAGATTTATACCGTGATCCTGGTCCTAAAGGCGACCACACTAGCGGAAAAGGTAATGCAGTGACCCATTAAATGTTCTGATCGGTACATGTATAACGTAATGCAGTGATACAGGAAATGTTTGATAGGTAATGCAGTGATACAGGAAATGTTTGATGGGTAATGCAGTGATACGGGAAATGTTTGATAGGTAATGCAGTGATACGGGAAATGTTTGATAAGTAATGCAGTGATACGGGAAATGTTTGATAGGTAAAGTCATMATACGMGAAGAAATGTTTGATAATATAATAKAGRAACAGAGTTTAATAGATCTTTTACCGATGAAATTACTATAAAATAGTCGTTTGTTACATCTAATAAAMRTTRACACTGTTTTTCTGRCGAAGGGACGTGGCTCTACTACCCAACGGCCAAAATGGATTTCCAAAGGAATCCCAACCAAAAAGCTCGCCTTGTAAATACGTTTGGTTGGGGGGATCCATTCTGCCTGACTTTCTGGTATGTCATGGACGGKCCGTCGGTAGGAACGCTTACAGTCAATATCAAGATACGCATGCGCAACGATAAGAGACAATGGACAGTCTTCACGGCWAAGGGGTCCAAAGGAAGAGAATGGCATTTTGCAGAAGTATTTATAAACGTTAAAGACAAGAACTTCCAGGTATGCACTACGCGTCGAAAGCCCTGTGACATTGCTATTCCCCTTTGGAGGGGAGGGCGGATGGGGTTAAGGGTTGTTGGTTCTTCTCACCAAATCTTATCCTGAAGATCCTCACCACCCTTTGATAGTCAGGTTAAAAAAATACACACTTTACAGAAAATTTTGTTACCGGAAGCTGTGAGCCCACAACAACCAATTGGCGAATAATATCACGTTTACTTCGATGATAGTAATTTTTACGAGTAATTGTCATGCCCCAATAGCAGAGTGACATATCTAGCATTTACATTAAATTGTCTTTTGTTGGTAGAAATCAGATTTATAAGCTACCCATGATCCCCTGCGACACTAACTTGTCAGGCAACACTAGTGACATTCCCTACAATTGTAGTTYTTACGTCGAAATGATTGCATGTATTGTATATCCGTAGATATTTATCGACGCAGTTGGAACAGGAAGTAAAGAACAAGGAACCATTGCTCTTGATGATTTGTACATGCTGAATAGTAAATGCCCCAGTATTCCCGCTACCCGTGAGTAACGCATTATGGTTTGCTATTCAGGATGCCCGAGCCTCTCATTTGTATCATATTTGAGACCTTCTAAGTTGGTATTTGTATAGTTTCATTGCATTTTCTTTGTATTTTAGCCAAACCAACAACCCCTCCATGCGTAGACATCAACCAAAAGTGCAAGACTTGGGCGTATGAAGGAGAATGTGAGAAAAGACCCAAATACATGAACAAGTTTTGTAGGAAGAGCTGCGTTTGTCAACGTAAGTTATGAAATCAAAAAAACACAGGGTACACTTGAAAAAATCCAAAATTGTACGACCCAAAAAGTGAAACCTGTTAGAGTGAACGTACTTAATCCGTGAAACAAATAGTACTAATTACTACTAAATAGTGTGGATTATACAATAGGAAACAAAGGAATTTGTATAATTTATCACCTATTTTGTAGTATTTATATTTCATGGATTTAGTACGAGCACTCTATTTCCATGATATTTAGTATGTAATAGTTAAATATTTTTTCTTGTTTTAACAAAGCCATTAAATGCAAYGATACGCACAAAAAGTGTGCATATTGGGCAGATAAAGATGAATGCGACAAGAACCCTGGTTGGATGAAAAAGAACTGCTGTGTTTCGTGTCGATTAGGTAAATTATCCGTTTCAAAAACAATGGAGACTTGATTATATCGTATATATATCGTCTGACCATGACATATTTATCCTTTCCACAGCCAAATCATGCGTTGATAACAAGAAATGGCAAGCAAAGTGTCCTGGATGGGCAAAGAAAGGGGAATGTGATAAAAACAAAAACTGGATGACTAAAAATTGCTGCAGAAGCTGTCTCAGACAGGGAAGGTAGCAAGACAACTRAACCGTTTCTCGTGTACAAAGAGCGATTCATACATAAAGCTGACTGATATATCACATGTACCATCTTGAGGCATTTTCAACCTCTTGCTGATAAATACCTTCGTTCACTGGTGATCATTGTGAAGTGTTTTTATAAAAGAACAAAAAATAAAATAAACATCAGTCAAAACCTACATTTTTAATTCTCTATACTGTCCTTATAGATTCTTTGAAGTTTTACTTAATCCTATGAGGAAGTGGCTGATCCCATTAAAGAGTGCTCAATACACATAAAGTGTAGAGCTAGTTATATATATGCTATCAAAGAGGCAAGATTTTGCTGTAACTCCGAGTTTCGTGCTACGCACTCATCAGACAGTATTTTTTTAAAGTTTTTTTGAAGTTTTACTTATATAAATTATAGAAGTAACGTGACGTCGAAAACCAATGACGTCACAATSGCGCGCGCTGTGATAAAATCAAATATGGCGGACTTCAGCTTTCGCCAATGATAAGAGCCATAGAATCATGTCTCTATGGAGAGGAATAGTTGTCTTGGCATTATTCTGTTTTTTCGCTAATCTTCCTACCGTTTCAAGTACCTCAAATCCAAAACCAAGTTATTTTATTGGTGGATTTGGTAGAAAGTTGAGTGAACTGCGTCAAGACTGTCTTGGWGTTGAACAAATACAAGTATGTATTTAAAATTGAAAGTCTGAACTAACGCTGAACCCGGCAAATTCTATTGTTGTCCAGATACAACCATTAGCGTTATGCTATCATAGTGTTATGTGTCACAGTCGTGATTTTATGAAATAGTGTTATGCTAAGTCTCCGAAGGTATCATTCTCGTTTCCAATATCCGGCGAATGCCGACAGATGCTCAAATGAGATCATAAACAAAGACATAAGCGTATCGTGTCCATTATTCAATAATCAAAGAGGATCTGCCTGGCACGTGTTGCCCCACCCTTCATGTGTGCCTTTTTAATATCACAAACAGAAAGAAATCAACGAAAAAGTCAAAGTTGCCGAGCTGTTTGATGGASAGAAGCTGATAAGAAAGATATCATCGGTTATAAGAAAACGTTTTACTGAAAGAATTGATGCTTTACATGAACTGAAGAAAGGAGTTGAAGAAGACTACGCCAGGACATCGGGAGGTCAGTATAACTGCAACTTATTCCTGAGCTAGACAAAGTATTTACCTTTACACATTGCTCTTATCCAAAGGCGAGCAACTCCGTTGTTGCAAGCTGAATTCAACAACGATCAAGTACAACTCTCGGTTTAAGACKAAGGTCGACCCAGGACACTTCTGTGAATTGAGGTCCCAACGTTCTTATGAAGATGCGAGAGGACTGGGTGATAACGTYATGCAAGCAATGTACCAAAACTTGAAGAAGGTATCTGTAGATATAGTGTTTATCATGTGTTTATTACTGCTCCATATATCATAAGAGACTGAAACTGTTTTTCTTAGAACCATCGTCTAAAATGGCAGTACTTCGGGTCAGCSGAAGGTGTAACGACAATTTTCCCATCAAGCCCTGCAAAGACTTGCGGTAGTTATGACAACCGCGTTAGGCCATGGTACATTAACACTGCAAGCCCGGTCAGCAAAGATATTGTCATAGTCCTTGATACCAGCACTTCCATGGCTACACCTGTTACCATAGAAAKCAAAACATCGACSATWCTGGACGTTGCTAAGGAYGCAGTTAATTRGCTTTTGAGTACCCTTCTACAGCACGATCAGGTAAGATTTCTTCRACAAWTATKCCYTYTTATGGCATAGRAACTATATYTTGTACTGTKTTATCATTTACCAACAATTCCAGYTTGGTGTGGTGRTATTCAGCAGTAAAWRAACATTACCAGGAAATAACAGCACTGATGCATGCTACAGTGAGCGGCTGGCKTTTGCCAGTGTCTTGAATGTCAACCGTCTCAAGAAGTTKATCAATGAAGCGGAAAGTCGAGGTAAATTCTCCTATAGTAACCCACCCTGGATCTCAGTTTCCTTCAGTTGATAGRTWATGCTTATCTTAAATTCAGGGGGGACCCTCTACCAACGAGGCTTTGAGGCTGCCTTTAAATTATTAAAGAATACTCCAGGCACAGGGAACCCAACTCGACAGTCCATTATTCTCTTCATCACYGACGGCCCACCAAACGACGTGAAGACCTCTCTCATTAAATCGGTACAAAACATCAAAGCTAACACAAAGGTATCCATTGTAACATATGGTATCGGTAACAATTACAAGATGASAAGKTTTTTGAAAAGACTTTCCAAGGAGGCYGTACGTGGACTATATACACCTAAAATATTCTTTGAACATTGAATAATGGACAAAATCTATTTAACTAATAGGGTACAATCAATAATCACGTGGAGAGTGTAGCTGACCTTGGCGCTGAGTTGACCTCATACTACATGCATTTACACCATGCCCAGGCTAAAAAAGCTTACATCGTGTCCCCGCCTTACATGGGCGCGTGGGGATTGGGTCAGTACATTGCATTGGCTGCTATTTTATTTGAATATTGATTTTGATAAGAATTATCAATATTGAGCCCTACAACCTTTACATCAATTGCTGTTTCATTTCATTGTATTTATATAAGCATTACTGATTTAGGTGTCTTGATCACCATCGCAATGCCGTGCGCTCGTAATGGACAATTCAAGGGGGTAGCTGGCATTGACATCACACTTCCTGATCTCATCTCAGAGATACAATACTTCAGCCAAGCAGGACCAGATTCGTACGCATTTATTGCGCATAAGAATGGAAATGTTTTAAGTCATCCTCTCATGCCTCCCCCGGAAACCATCACKAAGGACCCAAACCTTGTACACATCCTGTCACTGGAACAGGGAGAAGGTTTTGAGAAGTTATTCGAGCAAATGAAAAATTCTAAGTAAGTTTTAGCGTATTATCACAGGTAAAAATCGCAAAAATTTCTTTGTCAATTTTGAAAACGTTCTTGAACTGACATCAATCAAATGTTCATACGATAGAGAGAGCAGCGTCCACGATGTTATGATAGTTGGTCAGCGGCGTCCTATATCACGTGGTGGTACCATTGAAGACGGTATACAAGAAATAACAATGAACTACCACTATTACTGCAGCAAGGTTTTGGYKTATGTTGCTTGTGTTGTATTAGCTGAAGCCGATGTTGAGATGAACATTGAGGATACTTCAGGTAAGAAACATCGGGAAATACTTTGAAATGATTGCTGACTTTAACCATTGCTTATTGAAATCTTTTTTGTAGATAGCCAAGTCGCCTATCATCGCATGGATCTTGTCCCACAAGGAGACATTTGCTACTATGCTGATTCAGTCTCCTATAAAGGTATAAATAATTACATATTTACTGGACATCATTTCCTGGGCACCACAATTCAAAACAAAAAATAAAAGTATGACCAATTAATAAGTAGCCGCTATCTACATCTCCAGGAAAGTCTGTGGTTCAATTCAACGCCAAAGCATTCCATACACCATCAGAATATCTGGACGTCAATGAAATACCATCTAATATAACGAGTTATCTAAAATACATCAACCACGGCAAGGGAACGTCYATGTTTAAAAYTGGAATWGRTCAWACGGRAAAGACGAGTGGTTTRCTTGACAAACTTTGGATTCAAACTGGCCGACAGGAATACTTCACTCAAGTTCCTAGAAGATTCTTTGGAACTTTCAATGGCGTCCTAAGGTTCTTTCCTGGAGAACCACTGCCGTCGACATACGACCATACAGACCGCCATTGGTGAGCTTTCTGTTACTGGTGACAATATTATTATTGTATTATTATGTTATTATTGTTATTATTATATTATTGGTGACAATTTAGGAAGGATTATTCGCCATGGATCCTTTATAACAATCAATGTCCACTGTATATGCCAAACTGTTCAATAACATCAATTRATAACATTTCAGGTACCTTAAAGCTACATATCAACCCAACAAATTGACGATTACCACTCCARACCGTGATCCTCTAGGAGCTGGGATTATTGTCACAGTAAGCCACTCTATCACCATGCCAACAAAAGARACTAACGTCAAGACAGTGTTCGGCGTGGTTGCCGCTGACCTAACCATATCCTACTTAGATGTTCTCATTAAGAACGAGCTTGGCTTCCGGTGCAAGGACACCAAGACAACGACGTGCTTTTTGATAGATACCGCTGGCTATGTAGTATTTCATCCTCGCTTTGTCCAGCGGAATGTTTATGACGACGTTGCCATAGTGAAGAGTAAACACATTGCTGAAATACATGGACAAATAGCAAGTCGTCTCATCAGAAATGGTTTAATGAAGAAGAAAAAATGCCAGAATTTTCCAGAAAGACGTCTTCAAATATTTTACAAGGTATAGATTKTTGATATGATAACGAGGAAAATGATCAGTTCACTTGACGAGTCTGCTTATGTATTGTTGGTTTGTCTTCAGGTCGACGTTCCGCAACAAGGGATTGTTTACAACACACAGCAATCACCAGGACATTGTGACACGTTCGCCATCACACCYGTTCCCAAGACTAACATCTTCGTGGTTGCAGCGTTCAGTAATTCATACTCGAAGTGTTACGATAGRGCTGCTTGTCATTGTAAGCCTTCTTGTAGCGCTGCTTCAAATCATTCTTTTTGTGAATGTCCATGTACGCAACGACTGGACTTCCATTACTGCGGCGATACACTAAAGAAAACGTAAGTCCATACGTACAACTTGCGTAAAACGTTGTCAAGTTAGACGTTCTTCCTAACTCAACTTAAAATTTTCTCTTAGGAGAATCCCATCATGCACCCCTCCATCTTCCAAAGTCGTTACACGTCCACCTCTGCCACCAAACGCCGTTGATCTGCCAAAATGTTTCGACTCCCAATGTGAAGAGCATGTTAGCGAAGGATCGTGTCGTAAAACATTTGGTTGTAGTTGGTGCAGGTGGGAAGAGACGAGAGACCTTGACGTACCTTTCTGTACGTACGATAATGAATGCTACGGGGGAATTCGTGGAAGGAAGAACCCATTCCTGCGCGTTCTTCAGACAAAACAAATAAACACTACCCTTAGCGTACGTCAAAAGACTACAGGAACTGAGAAACAAAAATCTATAGTTATAGGTGGGATAGTAACATCTTTACTACTGTTTATCGCCATTACTATTGGCTACTATTCCTATAGTAAGAAAAAAGCCTTAGATGAAAAACCTGAAGTGCATGACGGGTATTTTAACGAGACCCAAATGCATGATGGGATGTATCCACAGGGATACCAAGAAGGGTATGTATTTGAAGGAGAAGGGTATATTGAACAAGAACCACAGGGTTATGAAGAATGCGATGGATCTGAGGCACAAGGATATACTGGAGAATACCTTGGGCAAGACCAGGAACAAGAATATTACTTTGGAGAACAACTATTACCAGAGAATGAAATGTTTGACGACTTTTAAAAAAGCCTGAAAACATTTTAGCAAGAAATTGCAAGGCAGAATACTTTCTCCAAATAAATATGACAATAAATGTTGTACTTAATGAACATGCTATACGTTTTGACAGATGAATTTGCGCAGGGTAGTTTAACTAAAACCTGCAAAATGTCAAAATACAATGACTTGAACATGTATTTGTAACACGTGCACAGGTTTCTATACTTTAGGGTTCACCAGTCCAWGAAATACAAGGAATTGCTTACAAAAAATTCGAATAATGGCTATGAAAAACAAAAGAATAAATATGAATGTTCATCGACCATGTCTTTCAGAATACGTGTAATGACCAAATCCTCGTTTAGAAACCGAAGAWTAATAAAATGTAATAGTCTACGTTCAAAATCCAAGCTAAGTTAATTCTTGAAATTTCTACCATTCAGAACTGCATACATGTCCTCTAGACTTGATTGCACACAGTCCAAGAACTCTCTRGCATTAGCCCCACCTTCGAAACAGGTCACATTAGCCCCTAGTCTGTCATCAAAGATAGCATAACCAGTACCCAAGCCTTCAGTATTGATATTTGCAAATCCCCCTAGTAGTATAGCAGGGCTGGATAGTGTGCTTGTTGATAGGTATATGCGGTTAATGCGGRTGTACGCCGGGTCTTGGAAGATCTCAGGGTTYGCTCCTGACGACTCTGCGAGCTTTCGTAGAGCGAACAAATGACGATCAAACCCTTGGCCTAAACATAAGATAGGACATCGTTACAAGTACTTTTCTAGCAGCGATAGAACGCGCGCACTTACCCATAGCTGCCTCCTTTGTTAGTTTAGAGTGCCAATCAGAAGCCTCTTTTATCCTGTGAACCATCTCATCGACTCCAGCACGGTGCGATCTGTCAAAAGCCTCGCTACACGCGACTGTAGCATTGCTTGCCGGTCGAATCGTCTCAGTACGACCATGTCTAAATGCAGCTGTACTGCAAGACTCGTAGGTGGGCACGAAATGACCCTTTTGGCGATAAATCCCCATCTAAAAGATAAGTATAGAAAGTTCTACAGTGTTGGATGATGTRATTATTCTCAATGAACGTGTTTTGATGACCATAAAAATTGAATGTACAGTGGAACCCTACTAAATACAATCACCAGGCGAATTAGACCCCTTTACAGTAAACCACTAAAGCGGCCACTTTTTCGGCGTCTCTTAGGTGGTCGGGTTAACGAGGTTTTACTGCACCTTCAATGCATGGGCATATCTAACCTGGAAAGCAAGCTGTAAAAGTGCATCTGGACTCAGCTTCTTTGTCTTGATAAAATCCTTGCCGAAGCTAGTGATTTCCATCACTTCTGTATYTAGTTTCCCAACAGCATTATCAAACTTTTCCTGTGCCAGCCGTATACCCCTCTCAATTTCAGACGTCAATGAAAATTCTAATTTCCTAACTGTGCTTTCAGCATTTACAGATTTTGCTGTCTCAACMGTGACGGCTGGTCTAGTTGTGGTGTCTTTGAAGACTTCGTTAAAGAAACGAAGCACAGCGACGCCGTCTCCCCATGCGTGCTCAAAGTTAATGGCAGACGTACCTTGTTTACTGATGATGAGAGAGAATGATTTGTCGAACCATCTAGAGAAAGAAGTTGTGATAAATAGTTGATTGATTTATCCTATTTCCCATCTTTTCATTCATTCTAAGTGGTTGAAGCACTCAGAAAAGTCTATTGGTATATTCTAAAACTATATTATTACAACTAAACCTATACTCTTGATATCAGCTCTCCCTGGTCTCTACACACGGATATGTAAGTTCGTGAACGCCTAAAACAATACTTTCTACTCACCTATTTGATCCATCTCCGTGTAACATAACCTTGGTTAGTTCAATGGGATCACTAGGCGAACTGTCATCCAAGCATAGCGCAAACAATGCACTGTCAATCAGTTTTAATGACTCATGATTGGCTGGAATAGCAGAGATTGCGTGACGAAGTCCTGCCCAAGTGTCACGTTCTTCACTTGTTAGTATACCAATTGGGTATTCCGGGGGAGGGGTGGGATCGTTTATGATCTCTTTAAGGTTTTGATAGATAGTACCAGAATCCACTATGTTACCTGCAAATGAAAATAAAAGTCGTCCTTGTTCATCTATCCTTCTTGTCATTCATTTAAGGCCATTTGTGCTTCATAATCCATTTATCAATTCTTACATTCTTACACTTACCATCAGTAGTCATGACATCAAAGACGTAAAAATGTCCTTTATGCATGACCAGCATATGTCTTGCACCCTCAAAAGTAGCCAGTTTATCTTTACTCTTACTAGGAATTCTAGTCGAGCAGAACAGTCGCCCATATTGACTCATATCAAGAGGAAAAGCCTTGACAAGAAAGGCACCATACCATGACAGACTTCTAGGTACTAATCTAAATGAATGAAAGAACAAATGAATGGATGGATAGGAAAGTAAATTGAATGGATAGGGAAGTAAATTGAATGGATAGGAAAGTAAATGGATGGATAGGAAAGTGAATGGATGGATAGGAAAGTGAATGGATGGATAGGAAAGTAAATGGATGGATAGGAAAGTGAATGAATGGATAGGAAAGTAAATGGATAGATAGGAAAGTAAGTGAATGGATAGGAAAGTAAATGAATGGATAGGAAAGTATATGGAAGGATAGGAAAGTGAATGAATGGATAGGAAAGTAAATGAATAGATAGGAAAGTAAATGAATGGATGGGAAAGTGAATGAATAGATAGGAAAGTAAATGAATGGATAGGAAAGTGAATGAATGGATAGGAAAGTAAATGAATGGATAGGAAAATAAATGGATAGATAGGAAAGTAAATGAATAGATAGGAAAGTAAATGAATAGATAGGAAAGTAAATGAATGGATAGGAAAGTCAATGAATGGATAGGAAAGTAAATGAATGGATAGGAAAGTCAAGGGATGGATGAGCAATTGAAACCTTATCATATTTTTGAACCAATCACTGTCACTCTTCTTTGGGTTCAAATGAAAAACATCAGGCTCAAGAACTGTCTCGTCCATTGACTTCTTGAATCTTAAAGCAGATTTAATAAAGTTGGTAGCACGTACAATCTAAAATATCAACAAAAAACATTAGAATAGGATATCTAGAAGGTAAAAATATATATTTTATTAGACTTACTTGATTATTATTTTGAGGATCATCTTTGAAGACAATGAAAGGGTTATAGTTTAATACTAAAGGTGATCTGTCTCTTAGATACATATCAAACCAGGACTCTACAATACAAACAAACAACAAGAAATGTCATGGCAGATTCCATCATATCACAAAATAAAACCATGTAGCATAGAAAACACCAAATATTGAGAAGAGATATCACAGCTACAAAACTGAATGGCAATGACGTCAATGGTGTTTGCTCAGTTTCTTAGTGGATATTTAGCAGTTTTCTTGTTAAAATGCTGCATAACACTCAGCTACGTTTGCTGGATTATAATACCAAGAACCCAGACAAGTGACAGAATTTTCTGTCTCTAAACAGCAGTACAGTATTTATGAGTGTATAATGTGCAGTTTTCAGTCCTAACCTGATATGTAACTAGTATGCTTGTTCATTTTATCAACTTTGATGAGCTCAGCATGTAGACCTATGAACAGAAAAAAACAATGATCTTTTATGAACAAGTCATCTTGGTTAAATTATCCAATAACAATATATTTAGGGGTTATTGGTTTAAACACCTGGTCCTTCTTGAGTTTTGAATTTCYCTGTGTATTTTTTAGTGACTTCATATTCTTCTGGAGTCAAAAGAGGTTTTTGTGAATCAAGATATCGTCGGCACGTGTCTTCTAGTTTTGGTATTGGTAGTCTTGGTAGACTGTCTTGGTAATGATATGTGTAAACTTTACTCTTAGGGATGAGATAATTATCATCACTGTRGAAACAAAACAKAACAGCATCGTTAGCAGTCTGCATGTATACTTGATCTTAAATCCCTTGGGGGATKGKCAGGGGRWCTTAAACAAGGTGGACAGTGGATTGRTTAAGGGAATCCCCTCCTTGTTCCCCACCTACATCCTCTACCTCTTGARAATAAATCCAAATATATACATAAAAACGACATCTCCTGTCATAGCTTACTTAGATGGTATGTTTAATTCATCCACGTAAATCACATCTTAATTAGCTTAAGCTTAGTAACTATGGTTTTCAATTCTTAACTTAAGTATTTTCTGGCTGATGAAGTTACCTTGAATGTGTGCTTTGACTTCTTATAAAAATTGAGGAGCTCACTTGATTTGGCCGAATAAAAGCCTACAGAAGATGATCACAAGTTTTAATGAGATAAGCTTAACGTAAGCTTTTTAAGTTACATGGGATAGGTGAGCCAAGCCGGCGGTGTGTCAGCAATGACTATCTCCACTGAAAATATCCATATTTACCTTTTTTGAATAACGTAAATAACTAAGTCCACTTCTCTCAGTACTTCCTAAAAGCTTGCATAAAGCCATAATGTAGTAAAACAATTCTKACAACAAAAATAAAGTTCAAAGTCCATGAAAAGCTGCCATCAATACGCCGCCATCTTGGAATGGAATCAGCTGTGTTTATTGTCAGCGGAATTCTGTACCAGTCTTATGCGCTAATGWATAATCCTATGTGCGCAGTGATTGGTACTGGAAAATAGGAGTTGCAGTGAAATGTCTTTTTTGTCCAGATTTTGCCTTGTAGGACGGCAATCTCATAAGGTATMTAACCAACAGAAGGATTCAATAGCCTCTCAACGATTACCTGATCATTACATTTTGTTTTTAGCATGCAATGTCAGGAGCATTTCGACGGACTCTGAGTACAAGTCGAAGCCTTGGCGCAGCGACTGTAAGTTTTTGATTCATTCGGTTATTAACGCTAACAGTTTAAATTATCAATTGACTTATTTATACATAGCTTTGATTACTTGCAGTAAGTAAAGAAAAAAATTTGAGAGTATTATGCTGTATATTTTTACACTTACATCACAATTTACGACAAGACACCCACCAGACACAAAAAGTGTACAATGTCCTCTCCATAAATCAAAGCATCAAACGATATTTAAGATTTAATAATATTAATACATGCRCAATCAATACATTTTTCGTCTAAAATCTGTAGCACATTCCCTCAGTTGACCTGACATACAGTTTGCCCAATGATGTGTCAAAATTGGGCATTTTGTATTGTAAAGATTTGCATTTTTTTATAAGTGGAGCATGAATATATTATCAGTGGTCATGCTGTGAGGTTTCATGCTGTAAGTCTGATATGTTTATAACACATTTATTTTGTTGCATGTAGATGAGYGTCAGAGAAGCACTCAATGCTGCCATGGAAGAAGAAATGAAGAGAGACGACAAAGTGTTCCTTCTCGGTGAAGAGGTTGCTCTTTATGATGGAGCATACAAAGTATGTACATGTAAAGCTATTTCCTTGAGATGAATGGTTTGGAATTAATATAGCATTTGTGACAGTAAGTTTGTCAAAAAAAAGTTAATTCACATTTCKTTCTTAGGTTAGTAAAGGWCTTCACAAGAAATTTGGAGACACGCGAATCATAGATACACCAATATCTGAGGTTAGAGTCTTCTGTCAGATCTAATATTAATCATTCTTTAAACAACAGCAATATTGAGATATACCATTCAAAACTTGATATATAAAATATATAAATACATTACAATTCAAGGGGCTTGATATTAATTTTGATATGATGTGTTTTTCAGATGGGGTTTGCAGGTATTGCCGTTGGTGCAGCAATGGTAAGYAGCAATAAAACCTCAGTTTATTAGGCAATACTATTGTTGAAATTTTTCTTCTATGTTCTTTTTAGGCTGGCCTGAGACCAATTTGTGAGTTTATGACCTTCAACTTTGCCATGCAGGCCATAGATCAAGTAAGTACCATTTCTATCAGGCAAACATTCATGTAGTTTATCCTTTTGGTATCTTCAGCACTAGATATCATAGCTTTAATAGTAAGTTACTTAATATTAGAAACTAGTATTCATTCTTTTATTCATTCAGGAATAATAATATACAATATGGATGATGGTTTCCATTGTTTCCTGAGAACAATATTGCATGTAACAATGGCATTTATTTTTCAGGTGATTAACTCAGCAGGAAAAACATTCTACATGTCAGCAGGGACTGTAAGTAAACACATCCTGATAGACAAGCAATAATTATCTACTCATTCAATCATCTGTTCAGTTCCTCTGTCATTCAGTCGTCATTCATTTTTCCATCCGTCCAGTTTCTCATCCATTCATATTCTCATTCTTCCATTCATTATCACTGTTTTTTCCATCCGTCCAGTTTCTCATCCATTCATATTCTCATTCTTCCATTCATTATCACTGTTTGTAGGTTCCAGTGCCTATTGGAGATCCCTAATGGAGATCCCTCCATTTCTCATCCATTCATTTTCTCATTCATCCATTCATTATCACTGTTTGTAGGTTCCAGTGCCTATTGTGTTCAGAGGTCCCAATGGTGCTGCAGCAGGCGTAGCAGCTCAACATTCACAGTGCTATGCTGCCTGGTATGGTCATTGTCCAGGAATAAAGGTAATGGTTAACCAGGAATGTTTAACATAAAATGTCAGTTAATTCAATTATCCCCACATCCATTCTTATTTAGTGACATTCATTAAGGGTCTGGCTATTTCTCACATATACTTTAGGTTGTGTCTCCTTACTCGTCAGAAGATGCCAAAGGTTTACTG